TGGCTGTTCATTGTTCAAACGCTGCACGTTCACCCTTTGTTAATAAAAACCGAAAAATGTCGCTTTCAGTGTGATGAGGCAATGCAATATCATAGGTAATTTGGGTTTCCAGTGCCTAACAATGGTGACCCACTTCAGCTTAAGCCAGTAAGGATCCTGTGATAAGTATTCTTGTTTAGTGTGGTCTTTCCTCAAGCAGAGAGTTCACTTAATCGGTCCAAAAATTGTCCGTTCTGCGAAAGGGTAACCGATCCCAGAAGAGCTGTTTAGGAGAACATATTGGTCTGTCTAGCCAGCCCTACGTTGTAGAGCAGTTTCGACTGTTCGGCTACAGAGCCGATTTACATTAGAAATCGATGGTCTGGATGCCACTTTGTGTCCATTAGTTATTGTGCTGGTTAAATTTGCGGTAATAGCTAGAACGTGCACTCTCCAAAACAGCAATCATACTTTCGCCCTGATATACCCAAGGCCTTTTTAACTCAAACCGTTTTGGGACGCCATCCAATCAGTATTGCATCAAATAGCTTTGAAAAAGCGATAACCTGTAACGCTGTCGGCATAAGAAAGTTCTGATAAATATGGAAACATCCCCTAGCCAACCGGTGCACCAGACAACACGGAAGTTGTGTAAAAATCACGGGGCAATCAGAATTTGTCGTCTGCCACAAAAATTCCAACCAAGCAAGCAGCGCCATATGTTGAGGACACTTAGGAATTCTTGGTTGTTTGCTCACTGGAATCGCTGTCGTGTTTAACAATCAGAAACAGAACAGTGCTACCAACATGCGACCCAAGGCTTGTGTAGTTTCAAGCGTGCGATAGTGGTACATCTCCGCGCTCCGCGGAAGAAGCACCATAGTCACACTGATGTTCGACTTCATCTCCAGCATCATTCACAATCTTCATTATCTGCATTCATCTTCGATTATCGGAGAGAAATGATCAGGTGGAGGAATTTACCTTCAATCTTACATCCTTCTTAAGTCCCCTGTGCTTACGGTTAACATCTCTTTGAGTATTTTTGTCCATCAGTATTTCTTTAGTGGCTAAGGTCTTCGTCTGAAAAGTGCATGCGCTTTCATTGATGTAGATCGCACATTCAAGCAAAGTATTTCGCACTGGTACAGCTAGAGTTTCCCTCCAGTTTTATGACCCTCCCGATATGCATTGGAATTAGTGGAGACTGATTTATCGACCGTGAAATCGAACTCATTGTGACAATTACAAGGTTCCTGAAATCTCTCCTGAATACCAAGGAGTATATCCTCAAAGTATAGTATACAACGTAACGGACTAAAATTTTGACGACCGGAGTCGATAACCTAAAGCAAAACACAGTAGTGTTTCACTACTGAGAACAAGGAAACCACAGTACTTCGAATGGGATAAGGGAGTCACTAAACTGACAAACCATTTGAAGTAGTACACTCGCCAATGTGGAAAAATTGGGTGAGAAATTGGCGTGGGAAACAAGACAAAATTATCGACGCAAACCTTTGAAAGATAGATCGATGATCCTCTGAAGTGGTTACGAACAGAGCTGAAAAGACCCTATTTGATACAGGAAACTACTCACAATGTTACTATATTTTGTTCTTAAAACCGATTAGTTCTCGCCACGTGTTAGGAGATATCGAAATCTGCACCAGTCATCAACGACCCACCAGCGTAAGGGTTCCTCTTACTGGCGTATTTATCCCACTCTTGCTGATTTTCACCTTGCTTAAACACGTATTTGCGACTTTATTGCACCTGGTACTCATTTTTTTCACATACCCAGCATGAACGATCATTTGAAATGATCGTTCATCGTAGCCAAAAACTGGTGCTTTTCTACTTAGATGTGATAGAAAACGGCTGCTACATAGTTAAGTTGGACAGAAATTTAAGACACCAAAGTGTTTACCTTCTATGGGCAACAAAGTCATACCTTAATTGAGACAAGCCGGGCAAATCCGGTAGTGGGCTCTTGACTAGTCAGAATTCAATTGGAAACAATCAATAGAATCGGTGGAATTCTCATGCACTGGCAGACGGTGTACCTACAGATCGTTAAAGGGGTTGATTTTACTCACCAAGGAAGTAACTATTAGCTTTAGGGTAACACACTCCGCACACCAACTTATACTGGAGAAAACGAAAACCTACATTCCGTAAGTCACAGAGAACGTTTTAAAAGGGAGAAAAAAGCAAAAGTTGCATGGAGGTGAGCTTAGGTTTCGTGTTTATTCGAAGCGTGGTTTCCAAAAGCGTGAGATCATTGGCTATTCCGTTACGATTTCTAAACTCTGTTTCATAGACGTCGATAAAAAAGCGCACCAAAAATCAAATTATTTACTTACATGGACAACAACAAGAACAACATCCGCCCATTTAGTCGACGACTTTTTCTATATTTCCGAATTTACTGGGTGAATATCTCTCCAACAGAGAACTGATTCAACCAAATTCATTTGGCTTCACATTTATTCGAATCAGTATGAGCGAAATGCGAAATGGCAAGCATCGAAAGCCATGTGGACCAGTCCACAGGTCCATCGGTCCTAATATTCCTAATTGGTCCTTTCGCCAACCAATCGCGACGAGACGAGAGGCAGCCGCACCGTTCTGATGGTGGGGATACGAGTCATTGATTGGTCGGCAATTCACCGCGCCCAGGATCGAATATACCACTTCAACGTTAAGTCTTTTCCAGTGTTATTTCTAAAGAGCAATAAAAGTATTATTTTCTGACCAGAAACTGCACGAATTCCGTGCACCTCAGCAAGAATATTCTCTAAATCCATTCTGTATTGTAGAACGGAACGTTAACTATGAGTTAGATAGACACTTACAGCCTGAAAATCCCTCCTGTATATTGAGGTCAATAAAACTGATCTAAATAGTCTTGTGTCCGGAAATTCCACAGGTGCTCTGTCATTAGTTGACACGTGATCTTATGATTTGCGTAAACTCAATAACTCATGTCATCTCAACACTTTTTTAATAATGAGCAAAGCGGAGGTATTTTGTATGACATTTGCAAACCGTATTATTCATATCTACAATACTTACTAGAATGTATCTTCCACTGAATCATTAAAAAGATGCTCCTGTTGGGTTTAAAGTCAACGGCTAATGGAACTGACCTTTTGAAATAAGGTCCTACAAACGCTTGGCTAGGACGTGATAAGATTATTATACCTGGAAAGAAACATATTTCCACAAAGCCAGCCAGTCACATTCAAGAGCAGTTGGATAGCAGATGCGTTCGTTTAGCGCGACCATGAGGTAAAATGTCCAAAAGGCACGGACTGCACTCTAAATAGATGTTCCTACTGTTCTACTGCCCGATTAGCTGCATTGCCGTTGCAAAACTTACTTAAAGGCACTGAAACACCATTCGAACAAAATCACAGCATGTTATTCAGTTATTTGTATAATACTTCTAAATGTGACAGTCAGGATTATGCAAGGTCCATTTTTTTCATGCGAAGAAGCCACGTGTGGGCTCACTTATCTAGGGTGGTCCTTTCCGATCGTTCATACAAGTTACCGCTGGGACAGGATTTTTCTTACTATCCTTGCATAATAAAACTGATTTATCCACAACGTACTAACCTGCACACTACAGCACCATTGAACAGAATCTCAAGGTACAGTAGAAACAGGGCTTGGCTGGTACCTACCGGTTTCAGGTCCTCCTTTAATAGACTGACATTCACAGGTGTGTGGGTAGACGATGGGGCTATCAACAACTTTAGTTTTCCACCGATAACTAACCCGGACAGATGTCCCACAGCGCACAATCCACTAGACCTCAGCCGTTTTGAATATGGCGCGGATACTCTGAAGCACAACTAATCCCCCCGGAAGAACAGACACATCGATTTCAGTCCACTGCTTTCAAACGTGATGGGAGTTCGGAAAAGTTGATCTAACCGGCGTAGGTGTGACAAGATAAGTTGTAAAGATCAGAACACACGCACAAACTTCTGCAGCATGCTGTTGGCGTCCCTTCTTCTGGTGATGAAACACTCAGGTCAGAAAATCAATAACCAGAACATTATTCCGAAGACTATTTGTAAAACGTGATGACGCGTTGCATGAAATCAGACAGAGTTTATAATGCAAACGACCGTTTTCTAAAACGAACTATCTATAAAAACTCTATTCCTTGGATTGTGGTTCGTCTGCGGTCATACTGTTTCTCGGTGAACAACTTTCCCAGGACCAGCTACAACATATCGAGGCCGATTCTAATAGAGCATGTAGACTGGAATGTTTTCTTGACTGTTCAGACAAATTTTCCGATGATGACACTCCTCACATATCCGGCTCATAATGTATTCACGGATAAATATCAAAAGTCACAAGGTACTCGTCACATTGGTAGATTCATCAAATGCCAGGGCGCACCACAAATATTGTTTAGCTGTCAGTCTCTTGTGGCACCGTTTCCGAAAACACTTCAAGCTATCTGCGTAATTATGGTTACAGAAGGGTCTACATTTGAGGGCTTTACTTGCTCGGTGCCTGGGTTTGGGTGTTCTGACAATATATCCCCTAACTTACAATCACGAATCACATGAGTACATATTCGTTCACTTCAGTTCGTTTGTAGCATTTTGTTCCCAGGCGTACGCATTCAGCATACGGAGTAGGTGAAAACAGACTGTTTTTGGCACCAAACATTTTGTCATTATATCTGACTTCCACTTTTCCCTAATTTATTGCTCATTTTGAAATGGATATATTGACCGTTTCCGATTGGCTGACTTTGTCAAAAACCTGATCTCTATATGCTTTCCAAAATTATAAACTCTTTGGCTGATATGATGTGAAATCTTATATCACTACAGGGTCGCTAAACATGTGCGGCATAAAATTCAAGCAATATTGAACACATTTTTGGAGTGAACATCGCTCTTTATGAGCCGATGTCATACTGCAGCCTACCCAGAGAAACGGCCTGTTTCCATATTTACACAGCCTTATGAATCCTACGCAGCCTTTACTATTGCGTACTTTGCAATGCTGCTCGCTCCAGCCGAACCCATCGGCACGGCGTTTTGGTTCTTTCAGGTTCATGATCTGTAAGATCGCCTTTGCGCCTCGAATCTTCGTGCACTCGGGGATTACATCAAGTGATCTGTAGGTGAACACTGAGAACAGTGATCGTTTGTGCACATGGTTATCCCGTAAACGGTGCACCACAGGTCTCTAGTTTGATCGACCAGCAGTTGTAGACAGTATTGGTGATTGGTGTTAGAATATTACTAGCAATAACGTGAATTCGACCTACTCCTTAACCGCACAAGCTAGTCTGATTGCAGTTCTTCTCAGTTGTTACATTACGATTTGTGGGATAAATAACCGTATTCATTCAAATTAGCAGAGCTTGAGAAATTACAAAAACAATTGATCCAGTAAACCCTAATTATATTTCACACGTCCTTTTTCCTTTATCTGTTTACGCTTATTTTTCAGCCCCTGCTTATACGGATTTGTGGACGTTGTTTTGAATAAAGGATGCAGAGGGAATAGCGGCAACTGTCTGAAGTTAGTTGATTCTATTACTCACCAAATCTGTCCACAAAATTCTGCAATGCATACCGGTCATGCTACTCAATCACTTTGGGTTGAGCGAACGAAAAACCACTTAACACGTGAACTAACCACAGTATCGGTTTTCCTCTCGCTGTACTCATAAAGCCTATCCAATCTCTAATGGAATCACGGATGAATTTGAAGTGTCTTTTGACAGACACAGTCTGGATGGGGACTTGAATGACACACTTATCATCGCTAAAGAATGCAGCCATCCAGTTTGAGTACCTCCGCTTCTGTAAAACCGCTAAAACAGAAATAGTCGGTGTCCCTTACGTCGGTTATGAGTTATTTGTGATGTACGCGTGTGAACCATATTTACCTTATCCACACCTATTCAGAAAGGTTAGAAAATAAGCCGCAGAATTAAATAGTGCGTCTGTCATAACTAGTTATGATTGACAGTTAATAATTTGACTTTTTTCGTTTACTGAACACACAGTATGTGGTGTGCATAAGATAGTGTTGAAAATTACATTTGCGTGTAGATGGTGAAACAGCTCAGTGGCTCTGAGGAAGATAAAGCCTGGTAGTGATTGGAGCTAGCCAAAGTGAGTAATTTTTTCACCGAAATTCCAACCTTAAACGGTGTAAGCGCTCCTCGAGTTTGGCTATTCCGTGATATTTGATTAGTGACGCCGTTTCTTCATGTTGATTCCAGTCCTCTCCTCTACTTCCGAGATCACAGACAGGACAGACTCACAGTGACTACACTGAATTCCCGTATGTCTGCATACCTCAGGCAACCCGAGTTCCTCCAAAGCCAAGTTCTGATTCCCCGTTACATAGCTACTTTTAACAGTTTATTACAGTGTCAAATGTATCAACGCACTCTTTTTGAATAAATACATACATACCTCCACTTGTATTGATCCACAAACTACGATTGGATGGAGAACCCTACCCCCGGAAAAGTGAAAAACCAAACATTACGCTGTTCGCTAGTAAACCAGGAAGTAACATAAACAAAACCTATCACTGGAGCTTTACCTTTTAATTGTATTCTATGTAGTAACTGCATGCAGTCGATTCACGTTAAAAGGTGACAGCCAAAAATGTGTTGCACAATAATCACGAGACCTCTGAAATCACCACCCTCTAAAAACGCGCAACTTTACTTTGGTTGAATTAACCCAGCCTAATTTTCGCAAATAATCGTGCGAAAGGTCATCGACAATAAAGAAGCGGGTGAAATGCACTGAGTGCACCTCGTGTTGTGGAGTTCAAAGTAATACCGTCGACCAAACCAATAAGAAAACACGGTTTTCCGGAAGATTGCTGCTCAGGAGAGGAGTTCTGGATACCAATACTCACAGCCCTATGTTCTAGTTCTGAAAAGAACGTAGTTCTCGCTTGCTTGCGCCAATCACCAGAGATTTTTCCATTTGGTCTGATATCTGTTAGATATCTGATACACCCGCAGGACGCATTTCCTCAAGTCCTATTACGTGATATTATAAGTTGGTTTTCCAACTTTATGAAAAGTCCAGTTTCAGGACTAACTAATGGAGAAATGCTCAGTCTAAGGCGTTACAAAATTCTGAACGCTTCTGAGATGGAAGAACTCGTTCTTTGAAAGCGTCACACTTTCATGAGTGTTGAGTAGCTTTTCGTTTTAACGCTAGCAAAGAGGTTTGCTCTCAACAGGCACACATTGGATAAAATATTACAAATATTCAAAGTGTGTTTGGATATTATGGTTTGTCAGTTGTACAAGATAGAAATGGACGGTTCTGTTAACGTAATTCACGGCGCATTCTGTGTTGATGGGTGTGGCAGGACTAAACCACTTGGTTTACAAGCATTTGATACACACTGCTACTCCTAACACAAAGAATCTGCCGAGTGAGTACGGCCTACGCGAATCCTGCTAAGTCCACCTGCGGAGTCTCACTGAGGGCAATTCACACTAGCTGATTACTTTTCGGCAACCATTCGTCTCTGTTTCAAAGTTATCGCTAATGAAACTCTAGTCCATGGCCAGTCAACCATCAGATGCTTGGTCAGGGTCGTCGGTTTTAAGGAGCAATTCGGATCATTGCTAATAAATCTCCTCTAGACTGGGTAAAGTGACTTGAACTTATTGATCGTAGTTGGGATGGTCAGGTCAGGCAAGCACACTGAAATAATCATTTCGGTCAAATAATGGTGAGAATCAATCTGGCCAGATTTTATGTTGATTGTCTGATATCCACACACATTCTCATCATTTGCGCATTTCTGAGAACAAGCATTGTGGAGAAAGTCGACTGAATATGTGGCTCAACTATATGGGGAAGGACTGACCATGACTAGGTTGAGAGTTTCAAAAGAGCTCTTTTCGCGTCTTCCATTGGTTAGAGAACGCTCCGGTGTTAAGAATGCGACACGGGGCATCCGAACGTACATTTTGAGGCTATTCACTGAGTATGCTTGAGCTCATGTTATCGTTCATTAGGAAGTAGTGAGGCAAAGAGCCAAGTGTTGTCGCACTCTGATATCACACAACGATGCTTTCCTCTATACTTTCCGGTGGGTTTTACATTGGCGCATTTGATAAGATGTAGACACATGAATGACCAATTTAATTGGTATGAGTACCTCCTGAATTTTCTAATAAACTGGAGGGTTTTTCGAGTCAGTTCTCAGTTATTTCTGGAACTGGATCCACGGGTACTATATATTCATCAGGTTTAAGTTGGGAGGGCTTATGGTTGCCACAAAGTCAGTACACCTTAATAGTTATCGGTTAGAACATAAAGGGTTGATGGAAGTGTGGCATTGATAATTCTTCGTCAGGTCACTCACGTGTAGAGGTCAGAAAGTGGAAATGTGCAGGTAGATATTAACCAAAATACAATTCAATTACTATGCCGCTTTGATCAGCGCCGGGATTAGACAATTGGACGAAGGTCACCAGAAAGATCGTCCTGGGATGCGAACAAGTAAAAAGTCGCCCGTGTGCGTGGGGTTGTGTGTGTGTATGAACTTCCACATATGTTCGACCATGAAAGCTGAAGTGTGTGGACAAAGTGCTTTTGATGGCTATCGTTGCCGTCATGGGAGATAATGCTGGTCTGTATCGAACAGGGTTAGTGAGTGTGGTTTTATTAAAGGACCAGAAAAGGTTCCATGGGCAATATGTTGCAATTTATGTCAATCAAATCCTGACCAAATGCAGTGCTTAAGGATGTCTTGTCGCCACCAAACTGCCGAAAACACGTTTGTCGACCCTCATGATATTCTGTAACTAAATATGAACTTAGCAACGATTTCTCATTCCTATTCGTCAACGTTTTTGTTCACAGCAGTTTTTTTGTTTCAGTGCATCTATACCTGTGGACAGCTGGTTTTAGCAGGTTCATATAGAATTGATCACAGCAGTGCTTTAATTGAACCAAACCTTTCATCTGTAATGCTCCGGTGCAGATGTGCACAATCAAAAACCTTGTAGTGACAGAGAATGTCTTATATTTTATGAAAAAAGCTCAATGGGAGCTCACGATTTTCTTTTATCATGTTTTTCTGTACCAAAGACAAGAGATGAACTTGCCTACCTACAGACAAACACGACTATCATTCTAATTATACCCGTCCGAACGCTAAAATAATACTGAATACACTGGAATTTTCATCGCACTTTTTTAAACTCAGAATGGTTTTTTTATTAAGAGGCTTTACGGAATACCCAGATGCGACCTAATTAGAATACAGCAATTCAGTTTATGACCTTCAGATTATCGTTTTCTGGAAGTTTGCATGAAGCATAACACACGTAACTCAATTACATGCACTCCCTCTCATAATCTGATTGCTTATGAACATTTAAGACCTTTTTGGATGATGCATCTCGTAAAGCATGCTGTTTTGAAATTAAAATATGGAATACAAAAGTCCATGTGAATCACCCAAGCCACTGTTATTTTGCCTGGTGATCAAAAGCCCAAAATGGCATTCAGGGAACTGACCTTTAATTATCCTTTTCTGAATAGTGGTTGTTCGCAAAGCGGATAAATCTGATAACATTTCAAGTTCACCTGATAGATTGCCTTTTCTCCTGTTTTGCAGACTCTCTGTTCAGTTATGATTATTCCCGGTTGAAATGTACTTGCGATACCCACTATACGTTCAATCTGCATCTGTCTTCGCTGTTCGGCACGCCATTTATTTTGGACTGTTTATACAGTTTACTGAAATAGGCTGAAGTAGCATAGTTTTAAAGGTGATTCGTCGATAGAGGGCAGCTGAATCGGTTCATGAATGTTACCGACATTAGTAAAGCCAATAATTTAAACTGTGTTATATAACAGGGTTAGTACTGCGGTAATTTGAACACACTACATCTCTTATTCTACGTTTCCGGGTTTTCTGTAAACATGGCAGAAAATAACCGATAAATGGGCTTGCAGGCGACGTAGAGGATTAAACAAATGTACATACACCGAATTGCCACACCATGCGAGGTAGATGGGTGAAAACACAACATATATCTTTGCAATGCATCACGATCAAGCTGAACCAATAACCAGTGTCAACATAAACACGGAGGTGCATTCAACTCACCGTTGACCATATCCGTGTGAAAACTGAAAAAGGCAATGTGAAGGATGTCAGCATTGGTTACTCATGATGGACCAATTTTTTTTTAGCAAATCTCCGCTTAGGAGAGAACCGATCACAATCTGAGAAAGCACTGTCCATGATGAGAACAAACTGATTGTTTGGGCTGTAGCCCACCCACCTACAAGTCCTCGTGTCACAACACATCTTTTTAGCTGCCTTTAAACTTTTTATTGAAGAGAGAAAAATGCATACTGGTAGTGCGCCGATGCTGATAACATCACTGTACGTCTATAGGTCCACTTGATTAGAAGTAGTGTCATTGTTAAATCATTGTTTTGCCACTACTGTATTCTTGTTACTGTATCGTTACAGTTGTATTTCAATACTTTATTATTGCCATTAGTACGAACAAGACCTGTCCACCGATGGGGATATTGTCGAACCTTTATGTTCCAGGATGATATCAAGGCCAAGCGAAAAGATGTTGGTTTCATGGTTTAGATGTAGGTTGAAGGATAAGTAGATAGAAAGAGATAGTTTGATAGAGTTGAAGAAGGGTTGTATCACGGAAAGTCAGTGTATATTTTGTACTTACCCGTGATACTAGGGAAGAAATCCGTATGTATCAATAGAGAGACTCTAGAACAGTTAAATAATTCACTGAATTTGATCTCCAACTGTCTGTGAACACAAATCTCGACTTATTTTTTGGGTCATCCCCCACGAGTAATCAAACGATTTATGATAATGAAGAACCACCGAGTGTCTTGATATGGATGATCACTTGGGGATGCTTATTTGAATATTAGTTGTGTTAAAACTACGAAAAGTGAAAAAGTAAACTCCATCTACAACAGAAGTTGACCTTAAACTATTCCTTGCCCACGATCTTGGGAGTATGTGATATCAGAGCATCGCTGGCCGTAAATGTTCGCTCAGATGCAACCTAATTACACCACCAAGGAACCATCAGCAAACCCAGTTGGTATAAAGGTATCCACTGCTTCCAATGTACGCTTCCGGAGGTCTCTCCCGAGAAACGAAATCATTATATATCTCTACGTCAAGATAGTAATAGGGGAAAATTCCTGCTCAAATACAGTGCTTGTTGAATTTTTCAAAAGGAAAACTGTTGTGTCCTGATGGTACTACCTATGCTGTGACTTCATTCAAGGAATTTCAAAAGCGTTCGTCCTAGATCTGTAATGTCTCAGTCAAACTGCGTCTTTCAGGCATTAACTTCGTTGTGAAAAGTGCAATCAACTACTCCTTTCAGATAAACCAGGTTATGAGGATACATTTTTGGTGGAGTATAACGTTGCTGAAAACTCTTTTTACAGGACCGATTTCAACGTTTTTGAGGTTCAAGTCTCCAAGTTCCAAGGTCTCCAAGTTTCCGTCCACCGTATGTTCTACCTGAACCCAAACTGTACAAAATTTACAAAATGCATTCATCCAACTGAACATCAGAAGGACAGATTCGGTTGCTGTTCAGTTGAAATCAAAATGAGAGTGGTGTCATGGATTGTAAGTGACTCTTCGCTAGTTTGCTCTTAGTGGCTTTAGTACTCTAATATGATAAGTACTCGTTTTTTATTCAGTGCTTAAAATCCGGACAGCGAATTCCAACAGTGTTCTAGGAACAGACCTACCCATCTGAAACAAACCAAACTGTGCCGTGCAATAAAACGAAAGACCAAGTTTGAACCCGACAAGCCTCAAGCCAAACATGTATTCTGATGCGAAAAATCAGAAACATGAGGATCTTTGCCCATATTGCTATGATAAACTGGTAGTTGGTTGTAAAATCCGGTAGACAAAATACTCCATTTCTTTCAGCCCTGACTGCATACTTGCCCACAGTATCCGTTCGAACTGAGACCCACATTTCGGTAAGCATCAGGTCCTACGCTGGAAATGATAACTATCGAGAAAGACCTTCTAACTATTCAACAGGCATCACGTTATTATCAGAAAATTTCCTGAGAGCTGGTATAAAACAACTTACACGTGTGACCTGATCGTTCTTGGGAAGTTATCTGACTTGATCAGTCAAATACAAGTACTTGGCGGGAAAAGAATTGAATGAAAAGTTTGCTTACCTTCTGATGTCAAATCCTCTTTGGTCGATAAAAGAAGGAAAACCGGAATCGTCCAGATTGCGCCATAGTGACGAATCAGAGCTGTTATCGGATCCGTCCAGACTATCGTTGAAGTGTGTAGAACATGTGGTTATGTCTAGCTCACCATTACCGAAAGAAACGGTTGCGTCTCCGTCTTCTGATTGAATAATGCCACGCTCGTGAGAATTTATTGTACTTGGGCTAGAAACATCATCAGTAGGCGAGGTGTGCGCAGTGGTGATGGTGTTTATCGATCTGTCACAAGAATATTTACTTTCAACCACATTTTCAAGCAAACACATGTGGGTTATAGAATGCCGCGCGATCTCTTTATAGGTTTTTCGCGGGGGGAAGAGGAAAACGCGTTGTACTGATACACCGAATGTGTCACTGACCGGAAAGCCTGTGGTCATAAACAGCGTGCTGTATTCGTCCAGCCCGTTCTCATTGATTCTGTCGTTTAGCAAAATACGTGCGCTGCGTTTCCAGGATTGTATCTTTGGCTTGGTTGTGAACTTAATTCTGCATCGTTTGACTCTGCGCTCTCGGTCCCGTAAGGGTGATGATAGGCATAATCGTTTGACTAATTTATGGCCTTTATTTGCAAGCGTATAGCGACGCATGTTTGACCGTTTGAATTTTCGCGACAATTTATGAAGCACCCCTGGATAGGGGGCAGCTTTTAGGCTTCTGCTGTTGTCTCTCTGAAGAACCGTTCCGACTTTCATTCTGTCTACAAAAACTTCTTTGGTCTCCTTTTGAGAAGAAAATAGGTGGGATGGAGGTAACATTGAGCTAGTGGTACTTTCAAGGCAAGAAGTACTGGTGTCCACAAGACAATGAATAATCGGTTTCACTTTGGTTCTTTTGCCTTGATGACTGTGGATTTGGTGCAGTAAGCCATTTGGTGGAAGGTAATCTGAGTCCGAAACCTGAATTTCTGAATTTCTGAACGTCCCTCCAACAGTAGAAGAATGTTCTTGGTAGGCAGTCGCTGACTCACATTGTTGGCTGAAACACAATGAGATACACGATATGTCAGGGGCTGAGTTGTTGTAGAAAATGGGAAGTACAAAATGCCAAGGACCCTGGGTACAAAAATTGCGTCTAGAATACGGTTTGAGATACGAGAAGCAATTTTTTCGGTTCATTTACTTTAGGAAAAGCATAAGAAATCCGAATGAGTATATAGTGTGGTAATTTATGCTTCATTAGGTCTGGGTATTTCAAAATGTATCATGATTATCTACTGCGCCTGGGAATCTGTCTGTCAGCTAACTTGGCGAGAACTAATTATACTGCTGTCCAGCCACTGGAGGCCGAAGGACTTAGTGCTGATCGGAAGGCCGAGGGTTCGAAACTCTGAGTTTCTTGAGATGCGTGCCGCTGCTGATTCAAAAAGAGGATGAAGCAGCCGGAAAAGAAAGAAAGCAGGAAACGCGTCCCTATGTTAGTTATGAATTTGATCCTGACAACCATTTAAACAATTTTACAACCTACCGGTGCACTCACAGTACTTAAAATCTAAAATACCAGCCAGCTTCTTGCTGTTCAGGTCAGTGCAATTTTTCGTCAGTATGTCTATATTATCGATACCACGAATGTGGTGAAGTGAAAACACCTTGGGCTTTGGGTGTTAGCTGTGACGCACGTGGTGCTAAACAAGCAACCCGTCTTTCTTAGCTATTCTTCGTCTAACGTTAACTGCTGTTTATCTTTTCAGCCCAATCAAAGTCATTTTCGCATCGGCTCTGAGAAGCTGAAAACGCATCCCATGGGAAATAGATGAAATTAAACGCTCCTGTTTTAGCGAACGCTATCAGAGTCATTTAATTGTGTCGTTGCGGGTCTACAGGTTGTCTGGACATTCAGATCAGAATGACTCGTCGCTAGTGACCATGGAGCTTGTCAATCGGAGCTCACAAAAAATCCTGGTATCATCCATGTTTCTAGCTGAGACACGGTGCTCCTTGAGCACCGTGTGGTTGCTGATGGCCACTAGCTACCGACCGATAAAAGCTGACACCAAATTTGTTCGAAATGATGTACAATTCCGTCAAGGATTTTCAGAACTGAGCTTTGAGCTATATGCAAACAAAATCTCATCAGGGAAAAAGTGCATTAACTATCGTATGGATGCATGATATGGCGGTGGAGGCATTTTTTCACAATCGAATTTTTTCAAAAGTGACGAGGTGGTCACTCTAGTATGTTGCAAATAAATCTACGTCAATGCAGCTTATCAGCATGGAGAAGGTCTAAAGGTAAGCGGTACCACAGTTGTACTTGTTAACCTGTTTCACGGTACTGTGATTAACGTCGCAACGTGTTGGGCTAATCTTACACACCAACGATTACGTCTGCCCGATGCTCCAATAGGCCGTTCCTGCGTTCACATATGTTCGCATCTGTCTCAAGTGGCTTTGAAACTTATCCAACGTAGAATCAGAGGGTTCATGCATCGCCAGCTGTGCTGGACAGATCATGAAAATAGCTCCCTGTCCACTAACAAAATAGCTCGCTGTTCTTGAACATCCCACTGACTTCAGTTAATTGAGTCGTACCAAGTTGAGGGAAGATTTTCTGTTAGCTGCATTTGCTGCATACGGAACGATGAGCACAAAGCCCAGAAGTTGTACTACGCAGGGCCATTTGTCAGGTTTACCAGTGGCTCTGCTAGTACTTGGATGCATTATCAACTGATCTGCATAGCGCAGGGAGCTTAGGACACTAACTACGTCAGTAACACCTTCCTACTTCCCTCTGCAGAGCACGAAAACCGCCTGATAAGCGGCTTGTTGCTCGAACTGTGAATGGTTTCCTTGTACATATATGAAGACTCTAGATCAGCGAGGTTGGTCATTCGTGTTAGAGGAAACATCAGAACTATTAGGTAGTTTTGCCGGTGCCTAATTGTTTTGTCCAAACGTTTTCAGGATATCGAGCAAGAGATTTATTTGGTTAGATGGTCTTAGTATCCAAAATCGGTGCGTGATAGTTCAAGGCGAAAGTGTGCCGATGACGGAAAACGAATGAAAGGGAGATGGAAGCTGCTAGACTTACGCTCTTGCCGAGCAGCGTCGGGAAATAAGCGGTGAGCCTCTGGACAGCTGGATACTGCAAAACTTGGACAGGCTCACTTCGCTGGAACACTTCGTACCAAGTTCAGCTTCGCAGATTCTCTGCTAAATTAAAAAGCAAGCGACAAGTACGGAATCACTGAAACGTCACAAAAGGGTACAATTGCGCAATAGAATATCGGCAATAACCAGTATAATTATGTTCTTGGAGGAACGCTACTCACGACATTACTGTTTGACAGATCACAACCGGTTCCCCCTTCTGGGAGGCTATCAGTTTCCGAATTTCCGTCAACATTTTGTTCTACTTAATAGTAATAATTACTATCATTGTTGTTATTCTGCGTTCATTTACACGAATATTATGATAATGAAGGTGGCCTTGTTTAGAAGCTTCACACACCAACGAAATATGCTTATTCGCACACCAATTTGCTTCCTACGGGAGGTTCAACTAGATCCCAGCTGCAGGTCTCGTTGATGATATTCTCCAAGGGAATGTGCTTCAAAAACGCCGCCTCTTGTTTTAGGCGCTACCGTTTTCGAAATAACGCAAAATGTTTTCTTGAAGGGTTACTGAAAGCTTTTCGACAGTCCAGCGCAGTTTTTGTCCCAATCGGGGTTCATGAAGTGGGTATGGTCCCCAAATTTCCGTCAAATTGAGCTCAAATCGGAAGTGATTCGCGAACTACACTCATTCGCCACCCAGCTTAGTTCAACTCCACTCACTCATTTTTCTCAATAAGACTTTAGTTACCTTTTACTAACGAACAAAAGGACTAACGCCTGATATGACGGAAAAACGTTTTAAAACTGTTCAAATATATTTTCGTGAAAAAATGCTTAAGATGAGTGGTTTAAAAATAGCTCATCAGCTGACTGCTACATATTATGTGGGACAAAAGTGCAACAGCTGCATACAATCAAGAAGAGCAGACAAAACTACCACCTGGTCTCATAAATGATTACATCCACAAGTTCAGCGGCTCATCTTCACAGTGCCCTAGTTGGCCATGTCTGCTTATGCAAGCAAAGGTCACTGAGTCCAACAATTATCTATTCCAATACGCTCGATTTGCACAAACCTAGGTTTATGAATGAAGAGTCAACGAGTGCTCGTGGGCCATTTTGTCGTAGGGGACTCGAAAAACATCCACAAATATGAGTTAAAAGCTGACAAGTTGTGTAATTGATGTAGGAACAGTCACTTACAGCATGTTAATGAGTGAGTTGCATTTGAAGGTGTCACCACCGATAGCTTACCTCGTTTGGTGACGCTGGAACTTAACCAGTTGGATGTAATCCATCATGGGAGCTGGTCAGTGTGCATAGCAGTGTTTGGGTTACAAAATACCGTTCAGAAAGTATACAGAGAAAATGTCTCTCGTTTTCCGTTATGGGCGACAAGGCCTCTGAGATGGATTATTTGATAGTTCTGCTTGTAAATCTGTATGAATTTTTTTGGAATATGTTACCTGATACAGACGGCCTTACTCTAATTGTATGATGGGAACGTATTATGCAATCTTTTGAAGCAAATAGTCTTCCTAGAGTTCTTTTTCGCTTAGGCAGGTCAGTGCTATGGAAATCATAATACAAGACATCTGAGATATCTTTGTATTGATCCGATTGCCTAGAGTGTATATTCATGAAGGACAATGTCTCATTTTATTCCTTGTCTGCACTGCTAAGTCGACAAACTAAAATCACCGACCTTGCTATCAACCACACAAAAAATGGCATTTATACGTTATATTTACTTCACCCTCCCTTCCTCCAGTAGAAACATGAGTTGTCATCAAGAAGGTCAGACAATACGTTAAGTGCCATGAGGCATACAAAGACATGCTTCGCTAGACCTTCTCAAACCAGGCTGATAAAAGTGCCACTTTCCATTGCAACAAGACGACTGAATACGTGCACTGTGAAGAGGCCTGTGTCCATTTAATCTGCTCATTACGAAAACTGTGTTCATTAAACCTGGAACGAAGAGGTTCGATCGTACGCAGATGTGACATTTTTTCCACCTCCATAGCCGACTGAACTATATTAAGGAGTGCACGTGTCACACTCAAAAAGCCTCTGATGCCAGGTTGGTCAGTGGTCACAAGTCTGACTAAAACGGTCTTCTGGTCTTTCTGTTTGGGAGTTGGAACATGTATGGGAACTTGCTCCTTAGACTGTAGGCTGCTCTGATGGACCGACGTCAATCGACGATGACTAGCGGTTAGGCTTTTGAGCTGAAGGCTTTGTCTGAGAGGCTTAATCGTCTTTCTGTCTAGGTGTGTGCATCATGGCAGTATCCCAGCCCATGTAAAAGCATGAATTCATCATCATCATCATCATCATCATCATCATCA